TGGATGTTCGTTCTTGTTTTATTGATTACACTCCCACCCAACATATTGTTTGTACCAATTTCTTGATTAAAAACCTTGTCTTCCACTCGTCATTTCCTTTAGAAAAAGTTTCTAGGATTCCTTGCAAGGTTAACCCTAATTTGATAGTTTAGTAGCGAAACTTCATTAAAATTCCAATTTGTATTTATAGCTTCTTTTAGAATTCTGTAGTGGACAAAACAAAAGAATTCTTCCTCTTTCTGACTTCTTCACAACGATGACATCAAACACTACATTAGAATTATCATAAATAGTTTTCAACCATTAGAGGTTCATTGATTGGGGAAGGTTATTTATGAAAATCGTGAAAAGGTCCCATTAGGTTTTCCTTTTCCATTAATATCTTGAATGGTTGTTTTGCCTTTAGTGAGGTTTCCCTTGTCTGTTGTGCCATATAATTGGGTTTTATCTTCAATTGGTTGTTGTTTTGGGTTGTAGCTCATAACAAACACTATTTTCTAGTTTTTGGTTAAATGTCAACATATATATGCCCTTAGGGTGCTCAACATAATGCCTCTTTAAAAATCTTAACCCTACACCTTTTATGAGTTGTGTTATTGTCTTGTCTACTCTATTGATCCAATGTGATAAAAAGAGGTAAGTTATGCCTCTACTAAGCAATCAATTAGATAATTTACAATTAGGATAGCTTTTCTTGTTTAATTGTAATGTGTTATATGGGGTGAAGTTGTTGATTTATGGGATTTCATTTATAGTTATTGTTCATTTTATGTAATAAGGAAAGGGAAGCAACTTGATTGTGTATCTTGCTTAACAAACCTTCACTAAATTTTCTATATGCCACTATCATAATAATGCAACTCTTATGCCATTTAGGAAGAAACAAAGCTAATGATGGAAAGCTTATTTGCAATAAAACCTCAGAAGAAAATATTTTCTTAATTAGATTATCTTTAATTCAATATATTTAATATATAATTGGGTTTAGGGTTTAACCTAATTAAAATTTAATTTGATAATAATTAAACATGATTTAAAGTGAATTAAATCTTTCAATTGTATGTATAACTAATTAAATCTTACAATTTTGTAACTAAAAGCCTGATTGGTTAGCCTTTTTTTTTAACTTAAAAACTATTATAAAGCTCTTATGAACAATAATGACTTTTAACTTTCTATTAATTACAAATTCCTTTGTTCACAATGTAAAAAACTAACTTTATTTTTGTTATCTATTTAAAACAAATTTTTGGAAATATAAAAAGTATTTTTATATAACATAAAGTTTATAATTAATAATAAATCACAAAAAAGAGTTCAACAAATAATTTATAAGTAACACATAATTCATAAATAACTCATAAACCAACAAGTTCTATTTTTCATCAGTGCAACAACTATTTGATTATGAACTCTACCCATTTAACTATCATTCCATACTCTTCTATAAGTATATGAATCCATTTCTTCATCATTACTTCTTTCTTCTTGACTCTAAGGAATATAATTGATATTACAATCACATCGATTAAACTCCTCATCTATAACACCACACTGTCTAATGTAGTTATGAAGTTTTGTTATTGCAACAATAATCCTTTCTTATTTTATCAACAGAAACGGCTTCATATCACGTAAAATATACCACTTGTTCTTGACTAGCCATAAACTACAACAAGGCATATAAAGCAATAAATCTTACGTCATCACTATCCAGGAAATGATCATTCGGCCTAGATGGTCCATTATGATCGCATATGCATTACACCAAATACAAATAGACCAAGATGCATAACAAGGTAGAAGGTGCTAGAAATTCACACAAGTATGTCACTCACAAATCATCCAACATGACTCTAAATCCTGCATAAAATTCAGTGACACTTCCAATAAAACTCGAAAATAGGTAAATTACCATGGGTCATATCCATAAAAAGACAATAGTTTCTAGGAAAGTAAGTTATTTTGATACATTTTCAATCATTTACAACTTTAATAAAATCGGATACAAATCAGGCCTTAATATATTTACCCTCACTTTGTAATAGAAAAAAGACAATATTAGAACAAAAGCAACTAGACAAGACGACTGAGATGTAAAGTTGCCCCATACTAGTTCATCAACCATATAGTGATCTAAAACCAAAAAAAGAGATCCCTCAATTAAGATTTTTCAACAATTTTAATAGGTCTAGATCTTTACCAAGAATCCAAAACAATAGCTTTGATTCTTTAAGTTGTTAAACTATAATTCAAATGCATATCTGAAAATTAAAAGATAATTGAATTGAGAAATAAAGAGAGATTCCAAAGCCCCCAAAAAAAAAAAAGAATGACGGAAAGAAAATGAAAAAAAAATAGAAAGAACAAAATAGTACTCAAATGTAGCTTTGAATTTTGAGTCTTTTTTTTTCTTAATCTTTGTAAGAATAAAAAAACTTCAAATTTCGTTATTCTATTGCTGGGTCTTTTGTTTTTTTTTCTTTTTCTTTTTCTTTTCTAGTAGTCTTTTTGGAGAAAAGGTAGAGGAAAGAGAGATTACGATTTGTGTTAGAGAAACGTGATTTGTTGAGAAAGGGAGAGGAGCGGGAGATCGATTAAGTGAGGGGGTATTTTTTGAGAGGGTAATGTTGAAATTATTTTTAATAGATGAGGACATTTTTGAAATAAAATGAAAAATTCTTCTAAAAAGCTAACGTGTTTTTGAAAGATTAAAAGAGAAAGCTTTCTTTGAAGCTTTTTTCTGAAACTTATTTAAAGATTTTGTTCTTTTAAAGAAAAAAAACTACTTATTTTTCAAGAGCTTTTCAAAATCCTATTTTACTTGACTTCTACTTGTAAGAAGTAGATAAACTGAAAGAAAAAATGGAGCCAAATAGGCACTAAAAATTAAGAAAAAATTAGACACAAAGACAAATGAAAAGAGATAAAAAGGGAAAGAAAAAAATAGAAATAAAATATGAAATGGATATATAAATAACAAAGGTATACTCGTCTTTCTCTTCAAATTTAATTTGGTATTAGCACTAATACTTTTTGGAGAATAAAAACATATATTCAACCAAATTGCAGAAGGTAAAAAGATATCTTTCTCAATTTAATAAAAAAGAAATATATTCTCCATTAAATCCAAGGGGATCTTTGTATTTTACCCTAGAATTAAAAGGTACTTGCAAGGGAGCACTCACGTTATTGTCGTCCTTGTTCTTGCCATTGTCCTAGTCTCCCAGTGTAGTTCTCACCTCCTTCCTCTCACAATGGCAGACTAAGTCAAAACAGTCATCTTGATATACCTAAAACTCATTTTTTTTCTGACAATAAGCAAATCAAAATCCCAATTACACATGACATCAAGACAAATATTCCATGATAACAGAAATAATCTAATCAATGATTCATATATAGTTATTATAGTTACGTCTGCTCATTCTTTTGAACTACTATGCGCCTTTTTGGTCTTCTCTGGATTGATCACTAAATTAATTTACAACTAAATAATTTTCAAAAAGATGAAATTGTTTACCTATTACAAGACTATACGATCTGTTTTCAGTATTAATATATTAATTATATTACATGTATATATAAGGGGGGAAAAACAGTGAATATCATGTTAATTTCTCCTTGCAATGATTCTCTCAAAATGGAATTTGTAGGCATTGCAAAAGATAAAATTGGTAGAAGTATGATAGTGCTGCCATTTTCCTTGTCTATACCAAACAACACCTGCCCTGTTAACATATCTAACCTACTCTTTAATAAAAAATGTCGGCCTGCATATATACATACATATATATATATATATAAACATATAGATTGAGATAGGAAAAAGACTCAAGTTCAATTTGGTCTTCATATCTCTAAAACACATGGAAACCAAGAGCTATTGTTTGTTTTATTCCTTTCCCTTCTTATAATTTATAATCTATTCAATGACATAGAAATAAAACCAAGAATGCATACGTGAGACACTTTGATAATGTAGCTAGCAAAACGATCAAAAACAAGTTGCGAGAATCTAAGAATATCGATAATCGATGACAGATTATTTCTTCTTTTGGGTTGTAATTAGCAGAGTTGTTAGTTTCTACATTTTCTTATATTAAAGTATTTTTAAGGTGACCAAAGCAAAACTGTGATCAGATGTTGTATTCATGGGACACAATATCAGAACATTTTCAAGCACAAAAAAAAAAATTCACCAGTGAAACCTAAAAGGGGTTATGAAATTAAACGACGCTGATTGTGATGACAAAAAGATGATGTGTTTCCCATTAATTATGGTTGAAAAAGCTTATACTTAAGGACAAGTGCAAAGTACAAAAATTCACTGTTTTGCGCATAATATATTCTGCGGGAAGGTTCCTACAACTTTCCTCACCAGTGTGATAAGCAAGGCTTCATTATACCATCATAATTCATTCAAGATTATATATAAATATGCACAGCAGTTTTGATTAATTAAGGTTAATTTGTTTGTGAAACTTTTTGCTGCCATAGTTCATAACCCTGGAGACATATATTAATATATAGCGGTATATATTAACTCTAGATAGAACATGTCTTGGGTGCCAATAAAACAATGGAAAGAGCCGTCTCATAATTAAGGGTTCATGTACTTCTGGCTCTGGAAATGTCAATAAACTCAGTTACCTTCGTATTTCTTTTGTTTTTGTTTTAAGCAAAGCAATGGGTTTCAAGGATTTTCATATGTGGATACACTAACGTATTTGACACACAAAAGATGAGGAAACCGTACCATGAATTAATTAAAAATTGTGTGTGTATATATATATATATATATTATAAAATTAAAGATTTGGAAACAAATATATGCAGAAGGAAAAAGAGAGGTGAGGTGACAAAATGGAGACCCCGCTAAAGAAAAACTATGATGGAAGCAGCGAGAGGAGCTTAAAATTGTCAGAACAATAATATATAAAAAAATGATTAAAATATTAACTGTCTGCTAAAGATGGATCCACTAGCACAGCCGGCTAACAGAAAAGCTCTCCCAGCAAACATCTAAGACTTTTCTCCCTCAGAACATCTTCATAGAACTCACTTAGCCAATGCCTATGTCCTTTATTTGTCTCTTGTCTAACAATCTCCTCATCTTTTCCTCCCTATAATACCCTCTTTCTGCTCCACACCTTATGAATTATCTCCAACAAAGCATTTGGTGAGATTTTGGGGGAGTCTTTATTTCCATGGAAGCCAACCAGCTTGAAGACTCGAAGAGCTCGAGTGAAGAGACTGATCGATCAGAGCAAAGCAACGATAATATGGGCACTGGCCGATCCTACGAGTGTGTGTTTTGCAAGAGAGGGTTCACCACAGCACAAGCCTTGGGGGGGCACATGAATATTCACAGGAAAGATAGAGCCAAGAGCAGGCCTAGTTCAGTTCCTATAGTTTCAGGCAAAGCTGATGAGAATTTGAATTACGCAAGCCTTATGTCCTATTCCTATCCGCCAATCCAAAGCCAGCAGCATTACTCCATGGTTCCTGAGGTACATGTAAGTTATCAAGCCTTTTTTCCAGCTTCAGGTTGGGGTTTTAGACCACCCCACACACACCACAGCGATGAATTGTATGTAGACAATTCACGGCATCTGAATCCGTTTGGGGAGGATTGGCCTAGGAGTCTTAACTTGCGAATCGGTCCATCCCGTGTAGAGGATGAAAACAAGAAGACAGATGGAAGCAGTCAAGAAGATGAATTAGACTTGGAGCTTCGATTAGGTCATGATCCATAGTATTATAATTTATATATATATATATGGGATACTCCTATATAATAATTAAGAACTTAATTTCTCTATGTACAGTAGTAGTTGTGGATTCTTTATGAAGTACTACTGGGAAAGGATATATTTCTGATGTGGAAGTAGAAAAGTTAATAAGATACTCATGTTCTTTCGATTCATCCACATCAATAAATATATTATTTGTGCCTATTTTTATGGCGATTACATCTGAGAAGAGACCAAACAAGAAGGATATACCATAAGCAGAAATTAGAAGAAGAGAGGAAAGGCGGAAAGGAGTTTTTCCACGCCTAACACTTCAAAGAGGGAACGCAAGATGGATTCTGTAAGATGTTCTTCTTTTTATCTGCTCTTTGCACAATCTTGTTTTCTCCTACTTGAGGACTTTATTATGTTGAACATTTCTGTTATTTCATGCTTTAATGAAGTTGAAAAGTTGAAATCTCTTGTGATTCAATAAAGTGAGAAATTAGTAGTAGACATGGGGCTAGGAGCTTGCTTCTTAAATTATTTCTCACCTATTCTCTTTGTAAGGTTTTTGAATTTACTGGAAACCCTAATTGCTTGTGGAAGAATGAAATTGGAAAAACATTGGAGAAAAAGATGAACCCTGACCCGGAAATCATTCATGTAGTTTTAGTTAAATATATCTGAAAAAATCTCATGGTTCAAACAAATGTTAGAAACATGCATCAAATTGAGATGTACGTTAATGTATTCCTTTTAAGCAAATTAGCACAGACAAGTGAACTGTTTGGTGAAATACAACTTGATTTTTTTTCCTAAATACAACTTCATTCTAAATCACATGGCTGGTGGAAAACAATTGATATTGAGATTTCTCTCAGCAGGGTTTCAATTACGTTAGATTATTCTTGTTCATGCATGAATTAGGTCTTGTTTGGATGTATTAAGCTTCAATGAAATTCAAACCTAGGTAGGCAGTTGAGTTGCCAGGAGCAGGACCCATCTGAAAACAAGCCTTTCACTTCAAAAATCTTTCAGAATATATTATACTATTTCTCTTCGTTGTTATTCATCCGAAAGAAGAATAAACATTTTCCTTGTCTTGAAGTAGACTACACATACATGCATATATAAAGTGCTATATATAAAGACCCTTCAAGGGTAAATCTTTAACATCGATATTTACATGAAGAACAGATTATGTCAATCAAAGTTGCCAGTACTTGTTTTCTACTATTGATTTCCATCGATGGAAATTATTTGATGTTTAGCTAGTGAGCAATCGCTGTTCCCTTTGTTGATGTTCTAACTTGGATCAAGAATTCTTGTTTAGGATTTTCGTACCAACCATCCATGGCGTTTTGAATTTAAGATTTTCAATTCGTTCATGTAACAATAGCACATTTTCATGAGCTAAGATTCAAATATGGAAGCAGCTATCTATTTTCCACTTAAGCTATATTTCACAGCCACCTAATCCGGCTAAGTACTGGGAAACGTTTGCTTCTGTTACATGAATCCAATTCTCTTCTCAGCGGCAGGGAAAACCCATCTTTCCTCTCTCAACAATGTTTTTGTCATTTTATCCAATAACATTCAACTAGATAGAAGCAAATTATATTAGTTAAATACTTTACTCTCTGATATTCAGATCATTAATTAATTACTTAGATATTATATATGATTTGGTTACCTCTATTTAGTATGTAAACTGATTTTTCGTTTGAAGCTTGGATGCTTTTGCCATGAGCCTAATTAGTATTTTCTTATACTTTTCTGTGATTATGAAGCTAAACCAATTAATGAAACAAACAACATCGGAACATGCATCTTGCGTTTAAGCTTAAGTAGACAGATGATGTAGGGTTGAATAGTCATCAGCCTGAAGAGCACGTAATATCTCCACTTTCAAGCACACATTCGTGAACTGTAATCCTGATATAAAATTTTTAATTGAAATTTTTTTTGTACAGAATGATTGATAAAATTAAGAGAATGGATTTGAGTTAATCAAAACTTCCTTTTGTAGGTATATTATGATATGCCGCTAGCTAGTTAGGTTATAAGTATACTAACTAGTAATAGTAGCTGAGCAAAAAAAACACTAGTAATTTTCAAGATGTAAAATTTTTAAGATGTGCTTCCCAGTTTCCTGTTAGAATAAGCAAGAACACCTTCCATATGGAGACTTAAACTTTTACACACATAACGTACATAGAATATTGAGATAAGTATATGGAAATCTGCTAAAACCACTAGCATTAATCAAATTACAGTGGGGTACTGAATCAAATCCAGTGAATAAAGCAGATCGTAAAGCAAAGACTTTTGCTTGTGGTTGGTTTGGTTACTCCCATCCTGTCGTGAACTAACAAGGCTTCCACGACAAATGTTCCTAGACGAATTCTTTTGGGCACTGCTTTCCTGTCACAAGTCGTCATATTTGAAACTAGTATCCAACAAAAATCACCATCTTTTGTCAGCTTATGAAGTTCAGAAGATCATTAGGCTATACAACAAGAATGTCTCGTTTGTTTGGTTCCAAAAACGAATTCAGGAAAAAATTGCGTTTCAATGTCATTGGATGACGCATCTGTTTGCATTAGTACTATTTGCGCTGTGAAGTTAGCAAAAGCTTGATATGATTCTTGAAGCTAAGTGTGATAGAACAACACCATAAGCTGACAGCTGCAAGTCATTTCCATCTTTAAAGGCAACTTTATCATCAGTGCATATACTGTATGTGCATGATATAATGTTGCAATTAAAAAAAAGAAAAAACTTAATGGACCTCAGTGAACAGTGGGGATCAAGTTTCCAGAGGCTAGTGGTAGAATTGCTGTTTTCGAGCAAGTTTATATGCCACATTTTTGAGTCCCAGTGAGGATATTTGCAAAAGTTCTATATATGCAACCATTTTTACCCTTTGGCAGGCCCCTTACATAGTATAGATTAGCAGCACAATCCGCAGAGTAAATTTGCACAGGTATAATACAGTACATGGACATGAGCAGAGTAAATTTGCATTTCTAATCAATATATCAAAATTTTAGTGCAAAATATCCTGTATGATTCTTTTGTCTATTAGAGTTTGATGTCACATCGTCACTTATATCAATGTATATACAATTCTAACAATCCAAACTCGATCATATATTAATTGGTTGTTTAAGTTCAAGGTTCAAACCCCTAATTCCTTTGACCTTTGTTTAAAAATGAAAAACGTCTTAGAGCACAAATTGACGGACTGAAATAAAATCAGCAGTTCCTGCAAGTACTAAATGATATGCAGAAACAGGAAAACAATGGCAAGAGGTTGGGCAGCACCTAAAGGCTAAAATATTTACTTCCATAACACGCAATTAGTAACCAAAAAGGGGAGCGTTCGGTAACATATGCTAATTATGTTTAGATATGGAGAGAGTGAGATGGTCTCAGCTCATGGAAGAAGTATATCTTCAGGAGCAATTGCAAAAGCGTAGGAACAAGCTCTTATGACTAATTAAGCCCTGCAGTATACAACTGAACAACATTTGTCAAAGCCTGGCTTTGGCTTGAAATTTTAAGCCTGGTGCCGGCTTATGGTTACATTCAAGTTAATTTCTGGAGCATGCAGCAGACTCGATCAAATTCTTACCCAGCTCTAGCTGGCTATCAAACCGATTTTGTTTGTTTATCTTATTAAATTGGGAATTTAACTAGACATGTGGGACTAAAACTTTGGATAAAGTATGACAAGAATTAGCCCATAGAAATTTCTTGGAAGGTCCAGTGCACGTAAAACGTACACAAGCGATGCTTAACTAGAAGGAACCATTGCGTTTCAATAGAAGGAAATACATTAAAGCTAGCAACCACTTTTGTTCTTTTCAAACTGCAAAAGCTAGCGAATGCATTTCAAAGCACATTACAGCATAGAAACAGTATGTTATCATTCGCATAATTTGGAGCTAGGTTAGATGAAGATGTTGCATCCTCAAGAAAAGGTGTCTATATGTATACAGTGATGTGAAGAAAATAATCCATGTTATTTTCAATTATACAGTTATGGAATGCAAATTTAACTGCACAAATTGAGAAGATGCTACTGAAAATTCTACACGGAAATCCCTACGCCCAAGTCTTGCGTACATTAAAGGATATATGTATATAGACACACTCTTTGTTCATGTAAATGAATATCTCTTCTAAGCAGTATAGCAAATTAATTTTATGATCACTTTAAGAAGCTTGTGTAAGGCGACATGTGGCCAGCAGAGGAACGGTGTCTCATGTGTTGGGGTGGAAAATAATGTGGAGTTAGGCAATGAGCAGGGATGTGAGGCTGAGATAGAGATTGGACATTGTGAATGTGTGACGTTAAGAAGGACAATGAAATACACCAAAGATGCCAAAATGGGGACAAAGATGAGCAGAACAAGAAGAAAATTGAGAAGAGAAATGTAACACCCACCTTTTTCTGAGTCCATCTTGTTGTAATTGTAATTATAACCTTGGTAGTCTATTTGTGATGAAAGAATGAAAGAAAAGACTTTTTTGACAAATAGGAGTAGTTATAATTTTTTATGTTTGATTTATTTAAACAATCATAAACGCAAGTGAGTTATGACCTATAGAAGAAGAAGAAAAGCAGAAGAAGGCGAAGGCAAATCTGCTCGACAAAAAACCGGTTAAGGTATGATTAGCTTTCAACTCATGAAAATTTTATATTTTGCATAGTTTGGCACAAAATTTTTAAATTTATTTTATATTCCTTCAATTTCCGTATAAAATAAAATCTCTAGAAACATGATGGGTACCAAATGAAAAGGTAGTGAAAAGATCTTGCTAATAGTTTTTGTAGCACCCATTTGATTTAGTGATTAGGAGATGAATATTTGAAATTGAATGTAAACTCATTTCTGACAATTTTAAAGACTTAGCTTTGGATCATCAAAACTCCACATTCCAGTAACATTTTAAATCGATTCTTTAGGGGTTCTTGTAGTATGAAATGTGTTCTGCATTTTTGTTTCATTGGTTCAATTAGGGGATTTTTGTATTAAGAGAATCGAAAGCTCAAATTTACTTAGTTGAACCTGAAATTCAGAAATTTTGAATATTTTAATAAAGATTATGTAATTTTTGGTTTCTGAAAGTTGTGTTTCAAACCATCTTTGTTTTTGAAATGAATTTGGTTATTAAAGTATGATACATAAGGTTAAATTTGGTACTGATTACGCCTCTGTTTCAACTTAGATTGTAAGTTATAAGTGCTTAAAATAGATCAAATGATCATAAAAATTTGAAATTACAGAATTTATGAAAATTTATTTTTAATTATTTTGAAAAATATTTTTGATCAATATTTGACCTATTTCGATAGAAACTTCAAAATTTTGAGTTATTTGAATTTTAGTGAATTTTTAAATGAATAAATATTTATTTGACAAATTATCTTTTTATTGATATGTTTCGAAAAACACGTTAACAATCTTCATGAGCTAAGTTTTAATTAGTATTAAAAATATTTTCATTAAACCCTGTCTTTGTTATTGATTTTGTACTTTAACCTATGAGTTTTTAGGTTTTGAATGTTTTTATGTATTTTACAAGTTATTAAAGAAAATCAAAATCAATCTAAATTTTCAAAAATATTTCAAAATTAGTTTTTGTTTAGCAAAAGAGGTTGTCACATTCTAAATGCCTTAGAATGACCAGTAGGGCGTCATGGTTTGTTTTGATAAATTAGTAGTGTTAGTTTTTAATTGAGTATTTGGAATTAATAGGCTTTAAGAGAATTTTGATTATTTATCATTTTTTTTTTGTTTTAGTGAATCAATAAGCGGCTTGATATCCCTTTAGTGTTTTCAATCCTTAAAAAGTCATCATTAATGTGAATTACTTTCATATAGTATACATCACATTTTATCTCTTCATTTATTATATTGGATTGTGCATGCAAAATGTATATATATGATTTCCTTATGATGGCTTTAGAATGTGAATTTTGTGAATCATGATTTCTTATTTTGAAATTTGTATATGATTTTGTCTAATATATACATATATGGCTATCTTTGTAAATACAAACTCAAAATTTAATATGCATGAGATGTGCTTTATGAAAGTGGATATTAGTATTTTTTAAATTTGAGTAATCTAAAAATACGTTTTATTTTGTCTCGTAATATGACTATGCCCTGACCTTGTCAATAGAGATTAAATGTTAGCTATGTTGATGCATACTTTGTGATATGAGATCGGTTTCGAACTATGCCACTAATTACAGACAATGGTTTTTGTTTTATCTATTCAGTGCAACCAATAGTTATTTCGTATATGCTTCTAACTCATGCCACTCAAGTTAATTGTGATTTTTGTTTTGATTCTAACTTCTGCTTCAAAGGTTAAATGTGGTCATACCATGATATAAGAGACCACTAATTGTGAAATTATATTTTTTTTTCTGTTATATGAAAATTTTGAAAATTATGTCAATTCTGTTATCTGAAAATATGATTTTGGAGAAAACATGTTTTTGGATAAGGTTACCCAAATTTTATTTTAACATCTATATGATTATTGATAATTTAGGTCTAAATATTAAGCATAATTAATCCAACTAAGAGGATGTCGGTTACTTACTGAATGGTTATACACGTTTTTTAAATTTTCATCATTTTTTCAAATTCCAAAATTTTTTCCATCTTTGGGGAACTAGACTTGTTTGATGAGAGCTTCGGCTAGCATTTGTCTATTTATCTTGTATTAGCTTTGATGTGAGTATTTGGTTTTAGTTATGGAAGAAGTGTAATAAGTAGATAAAATTTGGCATTTTTGGAGAATCATGTTTTTATTATATTTGGAGACTTTAAGTTTTTTAAAGTGTAAATTTTGAAGAGATTTTTGAAGATATTATATTTGATTTAGTATGATTTTTGTTGCCTTACATGCTTATAGAGTTCATCTCGTGAGTATGTGGTGTCTATTATATCCTAAATCTTTGAGTTTGGGGCGTGACAAGAAATTATAGAAGCCTCGTATGGGAGCTAAGCAATAGTTGGGAAGTAAGGGAAAGATCATATTGGAAGAAGATATACATAGGAAGTGGGTCAGAACGCTTGTTGTTTCAAGATAGCAAGGAAGGAATTAGGTTAAATGCTTAAATTTGGGCTAAATATTTGGACACTTTTTCAATTAAGTGTCAAAAGTTTCAATTGTAATAATTAAGGGTCAAACGTTTTTTATTTCTTACAATTAATGATTAAGTTGATAAGAAAAGGAAGTGACATGTTGAAAATTTAATTGTTAAAAAATATAGTTGTTACACACTATGTTGAAAATTTGGTGTTACATATTGTGTTGAAAAATGTATTTGTTACACACTATGTTAAAAATTTAGTTGTTATACGTCATAGTAAAGATTTAGTTGTTGCACACCATATTGAAAATTTTAATTATTAAACATCATGATGAAAAAATTGTTACACACCACGTCATAATTTGAATCATTTTGAGTGGACAGAAAAGACTGTCTGACAAAACTATCTTTTCGCATCTTATCTTTTCAAGACAACGTCCACGTCATGTGTGTGTCTTACACACGTAAGACACATCTCACCTTAACCCTTATTATAAAGAACCAAAAATATTTGAACCTTAATTATTATAATTGAAACATTTGGACCTATATTGACAAAAACTCAAAAGTTTTGACCTCTAATTAAACATTTAGTCAAAGAATTATAAAGGCATTCTCAAAGTTGGAACTGCAAGATCTTAAAAAAAGGTAAAGTAGAGAAGATGAGTTTTTCTATCTTCTGTTAGAGGTAAGGATCTTATACATGATTTTTATTAACTTGAAATATTAGGGACATGGGTAAGGGAGAAAAGGAAAGGCTATTAGAGAGGAAAAAATAACCAAATATTTAACAACTCTATCTATAGTAGGTCATAAATAAAGAGTTATGATACTTTCATCCCTATTAGATATGAATATAATTGTTAAAATCAATATAAAGGTTTGAGTCAATATCTATTAATAACTTGAATTTATGTTTTTAAGAAACACGTGGTTTAAGTTTGAGAAATCATTAGATGATTGTCCTTCGACTCAAATTATTATAAACGTAGCGTTTGAGGGCACATTCCAGCAAGCACCAGTGGTCTAGTGGTAGAATAGTACCCTGCCACGGTACAGACCCGGGTTCGATTCCCGGCTGGTGCATGAGATTTTTGGCCTTTTAGGGATTTTCTTATATTAGTCCAAATTCTATGATGCATATCAAAAGCGAATGACGTGGAAAACACAGGCGATAATCCTTGCGGATTTATTGGGGCGGCAATTTGAAAATTGAAAACTGATCCTCTATTTTAATAAAAAGTGAAGATTTAATCAACCCAAGTTAAAGGCCGTAATTTAAGGTCTCAGATCGGCGTGATGTCATTCGGGTCTAAACCAGGTGACAAATTCTCAATACCCAGTGCGATTGTTTGACGAATGCTTTTCGGACCTTGAAGCTCATGAGTAGATGAAGAAACAAAACGAGAAAAAGTTGCTTCTCTTTTATTATCTTTCGGACGCGTCAACAGGCAGTGGCTCAAGGTTAAATGAGGAAAGGAAGAACCATTTGCTTTACTTGTTGGAAGGAAAAACATTTGCTCGTCATTTACCCATCCCCTATTTTCTTTACCCAATTATGTCTATCATCACAAAGAGACAGAAAGAAAAGAAGCGATACACAACCCAACCCCGACCGCATTAATTGCTCAATTGTCTTTTCCCCCAACAATGTCATCCCCCATTTTCCTCCAATCTTTTTCATTTTTTTTTTTTATAATTGAAAGAAAGAGGATTTGATCCCTGTTCTTTTAAACATGGAATCATGCACCAACCCTTCTCTATCATCTCTCCAGACAAATTACTGCTATTACCTAACAAAATATCCCCTCCTGTTTCTTCCCATCACACTGTAAAAATCAAACACAACAAATTGAAAGGAGAACTGTAACTAAACCAACGATTAACCAAGATGGATTTTAGTAGCCAGCCATTGGCTCCATTGAAGTCGCAACTTGGGAGAGGAATAGAAAAAAGATTATGCAAAAGGCACATTAACTGCTAACAAGTTCATGCCTTCAAGGCCTGTTTGATATACCAAAACATCTTTATACAAACATGTCAGAATATCTTACATGCAGGAAGCACATTGTTTACAGTAGCCATGCATAAAAGGGTCTTGCAAATTCTCATATAAAGCTTGCAACTTATCAAATACACCATGGACCAATTACCGAGTAAGATAGTATATGACAAGAAAAATAACCACAAAAGATGCCACAAGTGTAAACATTCTCCGACTTGATTTGGTCTCAAATACCTGAGGCAGATCAAACTCATTGTTATACATGTAACAGTAGATGCACCAGACACAGACACAAATCCGCAGATGCAAGTCAGGAAGATATGAAAGCTGCAAGTAAGAGAAGTTCCACAAAGTCACAAAGAACACAAAGGTTATCTAGTTCACATACCATCTTAAACTTGTCCATGGTTCCTGAGAGTATTCCCCTTGATGCGTCCATATCATTTCCCTAAATGAAAACCATGTGACCATATACTAACATAAGCAGCAGCAAAAACAATATCACTCAGAAGAAGAAAGTTTTATTGCTGCTGCATACATACCATTCGATCCAGCATTCGATTGTGACTCTCCACCTCCTCATGTATATCGCCGGACAGCTATTGAAGTGACATGCATCAGAAAATGCTTGCATTATATTTATGTTCACAGAAACAAGGAGTTATATAGATATATATATTCCGTGAAGAAAGAGGGAAAGAATAGGAATTAATAAGATATAGAAGAATCTCTATACTGAATACTAAGAATCTAACACTTCACAGAAAAAGGCTAAAACACCAAGAAGCTCTTATTCATTAAGTGGCTCTGTACTGAATCCTGATGCAGCCCAAACAATGCAAATTAATAAAGGCATGAGATAGATAGGGTTCAGTTCTGCGGCCAAGGTCAGACTTACCCTCTTCAGAAGATTGACCCTATCTTGCAATCCTTCCATTGCTCTTTCATTATCATGCTCATCAATTTCATGTGAGTAAGAAGACGAGGCCCTTATTCCACCTTCCTCAATGCCATCAAAAAGAGCAACTCTGTTGTTACGCATGTCTCTGTACACATGCAGATCTTATTAGGCTGCCAGAATACTTATTACCTGACAAAATTTCCTTCAGAGGAAAAAGGAAGGTCATAATGAAGATTAATTATGAAAAAGCATTCCATAATTCAGATATGTTTTTAGATTGGAAGTTCAGCTTTCAAAAGGAGAGATTGAAAATACTGATTTAAGACATGAACATAATCATATGGAATCAAGAATTTAACGAAATTAGTTCAAGGAACATCGCCACACCTTGTTTTAATCACATGACTTGAGAGTTGGTAAACATATCCAAGAAATTAAACCATTCTCAAACACAAGCGAAAATTGCCAAAAATCATTTGGAATTATCAGGGAAACGAGTAAAACATCAGATCAAAAGGAAAATAAATACGGAATGGGGCAAGGTGCGTAAGGAAATTTAGGCAAAGCCACTCAAATAACGTGATCAGATGCCAATAGTTTACATACAGATCCAAGCAAGCAATACAATGCCACCAAACTATTGTTTACAGAAATCGCACACTAGCGATTCAACTGACCGTCTAGGATTCATGTCTGTGAAAAAGCCGAGAATAAAAGCCCTTTTTGTCTGCTTCGTATACCAGTGAAAGTCTTTCAACCCTTGGGTACTTACAAAATCTGTATAGAATCAAGAATTTAACGAAATTAGTTCAAGAAAGATGGAAACGAAAGAAAAAAAAAAGAGGAGAACGAGAACCAAAAAAGAAGGAAAATCATTGGTGAAACAGGGTAATCGAAGGTGAAGAAATTCAGATCTGAAAATAGTTCATTAAAATTTGGGAACACGTTACCTTTGGAGGGAAGAGGGAAAGAGTTCCCTGATACACTGGCACCGGACGAATTGGGAAGACAAAAAATCAGAAATCGAGAATGGATGATTTACTGACACTTACATTTATAGTTAACGATACAGGAAGAGAGGTAAATTTCGTTTGCTTTTTAATCTAGGTATTTTCCCTTTTGTTACGCCAAGATGAGTATCTATTTTGTGGGGCCCTACGCTGATGTGGACTCCTGCTCTATCATTCAGGGTTTCAATAGAACGAAAGAGCAGAGGGCACTGCTTGCAAAGCAGCAAAAGAAATGGCCCAAAAATGCCCAAGAAAAAGGTTCTGCGGCGACGGAGTGTCACCATGTCAGCTAAAGAGGTCAGCTTAGGTGGTTAAGGTAAATTTACAAAATCCAACACTGAGGCTGGCTTCAAAACCATTTCATTATTTGTAATCTATATTTATAATCTATTACAAGATATCCACGCTACGCAGCATGATTTGTATCGGATGAAACCTTTGTTATGGTAATATCATGATTTTCTTAAGTATTCAATTAATATGCATTTTCTAAAATTTTATCAACCTTTGATGTTAAAAATTATGAATAATATAACATGTCATATCAAGAAATTGAATATTATATACATATATACATATATATATGTATGTGTGTATTTTTAGTTTTATCCTACCAATTAACTTTTTACATATGTACAATTATAATTTATTACAAAATATATAAAAAGTTGTTCTATATTTAGAGATAAACATCATGTTAGTAGACTTTGATTTGTACAAGGCATTCAAAAGCCTGTAATACTCTTGTCAAATGCAATTTTGTAGATTTTTTATTCCTTCAATAGCATTCATCTAAACTATATTGATTCTAATTTGACATAAGTTTAATAATATGATACGAAATAGGGCAATACTAACAAAATAATCATCCCATTTCACCTTCATAAGGAAATCAAATTAAAGTAGGTACACCTTATCCTTGAACTCTAACCTAGATCCTTCCTTAATGGTATCAATCTTGACCCATGTTTAACTAGTCCAATGATGACATGGACCTCATCAAAAACATGCTGGGAATTGGAGGATTCGACTACTAGGAATAGTATGATTAAAGCATCAACGCAATGGAATAATAAAAAAAATTAAAATAAAATAAAAACCATGCCTCCTATCTCAAGATCACCTTAATTGTTTAATGCAAATTTAAACACTATAGAGAATTAGAAAAAGGTTTTCACTTTCCTAAATGAAATGCATTCCTTTTGTTGTTGAAAAAAGTGAACACCTTCTTATATGAAAGAATCCTAACCACTCAAACGCTTAGCCTTTAATGTTGCACACATGATTGCAGTAGATCCTTCATAAGGAAAGAGCTTTATACCACAAGTTTGTACTAACAAGTGGACAACGATTTGTCCTCTTTTCTTTTGTGATTTTCAGCAAAGAATCAATGAATAAGGTTTTTAAAAAGAAAAACTTTCTCAAGAGTGGCAGCAATCAAGAAAAAAAATATTAGTTATTTTTTTTCTTTTGTTGCTTTTGAAAAGAGTGGCTATAATATGATATTTATGTCTAGGTTTAACTTATTAAAATTTAAAATAAGTCCTTAATATTATAAGAATTATAATATTTAACCAATGCCTAATTAAAACTCTTTTAATTAGACCTTTAATAGTTAAAATCTAGAATTTAATTTAAGTCTAACTTAAATCATCACGTTCTCTATTTAATCCAAATTGCAATCTTTGTGTGTGAGCCATTAAGTTCTTAACATATTGGCAATGGAATTGAATTATAATATTATAATTAATTATTTAATTTAAATAAGACATATTTAATTTTAAATTAACTAATTCAATTTCATAGATCATAATTGACATCTGGCAATGCATCATGGCCACCCAATTGTTAGGAGAGTCAAAGAATTCTTTGACAACCTTTCAATGTAGAGTTTTTCAATGTAATTCATTCCCTCATCATATATCTAGGAGATGATAAGAGTTTGGTGCAGTGCCTACTCTTATTGACCTCCATTCTTGTTCTTGCAGATAGATTATTAGCTTTATGAAAACTTATGAAACTCATTTCATAATCTCCTAATCACCTTGGTCGATGATTTAATTAAGCTAATGTCAGCCAAGAACTAATGAGATATTTCCCCTTGAATCACTTGAGGTGATGATTCTTAGCTTGACTACTCATTTGCCTTCATATACTTCATACTCAAAAGCATCCTGTTTTGACATCCTCCGTTAGGTACCCGTAGGGATGAAAACAAAGTATAGTACTCCACATATAGGATAACTTGGTGTCTTAAGTTTGGAAAATAGTTACACAATTGACATATGATAAGTATTGCATAAACACTTGAGTGAGGTACCAAATGCACTTCTTATGGTGGGTCATGTTTAGTGAACTCACTCTTCCATAGTAAGCACCCACCTGCTAGTTCGAAGTATCTTTATGCTTCAACTTATGAGAGCGATTGCTTACTTCATAAGGAACATAACATGTGCTAATCTTTGAGCATTATTGATACCCTGTCTCAATAATACAATGATTAGGAACCTTTAGGAACAATACTTTGATGCATAACGATCTCATAATTATATCCCAATACAATTCCTTTGTAGGGCATATATAGTTTCATGGGATTTATCTATATAAGTGCAAAATGTAATTAAATCACAAACTTATGGATAAAGAACTACCTCAATGTTATTATGAATAACAACATGTCATACATGAATATCTCAAAATTTTAATTTCCATACAATCATAGATTAACTTGTAGAACTTATACTGACATTCATAAGATCTATCAAGTTTAGAGAAATTGGGGCCTTAAAAGAGATCATGGGATTAGGTATAATCAAAGGGTATAGCTTGCAAATTTCAAACTTCTAAAGCTTTTTGCAAAACTTATGAATACAAATTTTTAGAATAGATATAATTAGGACAATGCTATAGATGTTAGATAGAGAGAAGGAAAACATAAGTAATAGCGATAAAATACCTTAATTGTGATTTATGTGCCAAATCGTGGTCATCCTACATGTAAGAATTTGAGTTTAAAGAAATCGAAGACTTAAAAGAGCCCATTAAATATGGTACATTTTAAGAAAAGATGAAGAGATCGTGGGTTATTTTTAGAGTGGTTGTGAGGAAAGAAAAATGTTAGCTTCAAATTAAAGTGATAAACATATATGGAGATTTTAAATTAAAAGCATTTGGAATTTTTGGAAAGTAATTTGGCCAAGCTTATAAAAAGGTGACTGATCGATGGCCTACTTCCTCAACTTGGATCTTACCAAAGATCTAAAAGTTTTTTATTGCCTTGCCTCTTCTTCTTTATCTCTTCTATCACACTGCAAGTCTCAAAAACATCTCCTAATGCTGACTCTTTAATAACAGGTGATCGAAACTCGTCAATAAAGGTTAAAAGTGCACCATCTTTCCATTGTCGACAATTTGATTCCATGTGTCACAGCTTAAAAGTTCAAACCAGGTTAAGCAACCCAATAGACAACAAGCCAGGCAAGTTAGGCAACCTAAACAAGTTAGCAGACCAACAGCCCAAGTAATCAAGTAGGCCAATAAGCCCAACAAGAAAATCTGACCTAACCCAAGAGTTTGCTTTAATTTGAATCCTTGTAAAATCTTATGTAATTAAATTTGAATAAGTTTGCTTGGAATTTGATTTGATTTATTTGATTAGGATTTGATTTAAATTTGAATATCCCTTTTAAAATTTATTTTCAAAGTTTAAGGTCGCAGGAGTTGGGCTAAAGTCTCAGTACGTGGTATTTGAGCCAAAGGAATCAAGGAAGAGAGATGGCATCAATAACAAACTAGTTATAAGAAAGACCAGAGGTGTAGCCAAGCAAGGTAGTCAAAGGACATGATGCCCACTC